GTGTACCTAATAAAGTGGCTGGTGAGTGGATATCACATATGTTGCTGCATGTATGCATGCTTGGTGTGAGGGATTTCTGCAGTCAAAGAGACAAAGCTAGCGAACGTGTACTGTGGCCATTTGTCCTGCAAAGTCAATAACTCGATGTAATCAGCTGGTTTTCATTAGAATTGGGGCCATTTAAATAAATAAAGTGGAATTCTGTTCTGTCAGAAAGAGATAAGCACTGTTCCAGAAAATGTTTCAGGATGAAAACGTCGTACTTCCGGTGGTTAATTTACCAAATACCGGGTAAATGTAAAAAGATCTCTGAATGTATAAATAAGTTGTCCTCTGGTTATTATAGAATTTAAAAACAATATTACTTTGAAATCTAATCTAATAGAGAAAAAACAAGGATGATGGGTGATCTTAGCCTGTGTAGAGAAATATCTGCTTTCAGCTGTTCGATGTGCTAACAAGCAAAATTGACACGACTGATTCAATAACACAACGAAAAATGCTCAGCAAAAGTAGTTTTTTCTCCCTTTGTTTATTATCTGGCAGGTTTTTAAGTTTTGGAATGTGACAAACAAAAGCTAAAAGAAAGTATCATGTTAAACAGCAACGTCCATGTGATAAACAGCAGCTTCTAGCTCCTTTCCAGAGTGAACAGCTGATAACGGTTATCAGAGCGTCTGAATTCCTCGGCGATGTTCACTAAGAAGATTGCAGTGAACCCCTCCTGTAGGGTCAAGGCTGTGCTGCAAACACGACTTCAGTTCTGGACATTCACAGCTTGGTGACGATCACCCCGACGCAAGACAAGTCGAGAAATGTAAAGGCGGACAAATCTAAGGCGGTGCAGCCAGGTCACTGCACTCCTTTAAGGCCTGGCCTCATCAGTCCCTTGAAGACTCGGATCTTTCCTGCACCGGTGAGGTCGAAGCTGTAGTCTGTCGTGACGTACGGCGTCTCGCCTTCAATGCCGGCCTGAAACAGAGATGAAGATTTCAGTTAAAACACATACAGATGTCAGCGCGTGATGAGCGTGCTGGATAAAACGGCAGCAGACCTGCGCAGTTAGGATGCATGAAGGCAGCGATATCTCCCCTAAGAGGAGACAGTTGACTTTTCTGAGGATGGAGGGATCTACAGGAGTCAGCAGGAAGTACAAACCTCGCGCCATGTCGATTCCTCGGATTACGCCTGGAAGACATGGCAAGTTTATTATAAAACACATTTCTGTTCTATGACAACTAAAGGTGCTGAGAGTTAGAAGGAAAGCAGAGGCATAGAGGAGATGAATAATTAGAGAGAAGGGAATAATTATAGTAAGGCGATTATATTAAAAAAGGAT